TCCTCCTGCCTCCACCTCCGTCAAACCACAAACTGTTCCCCACCAAACATCCAGACCTTAATCATGTTAAGGGGGAAAAAAAATCTGGCTTTCAGCATTAACTGCGTATTACTTCCATTTCCCACCGTACCCCTCACTGTCTTTATCCTCACAACCCCTACAATGCAGAAAGGGCTGCTATCACTGGGAGGTTAAGTTGTTTGCTCAAATGATGAGGAAGCCTTCTGGAAAGGAAGGATTTCAGCTCATTCCTCCCAAATCCTCATGCTCAGCATGCTAAACACTTTCCTTTGCACCTCGATTGATTCTGAAGTACCCAATGCCACAACATCTACATCCCAAGAAGGGTTCCAACCTAAATTTTCATCTTCCGTTCTCCACCTGGGCTGACAACACCAGGTTTTGTTTTATGAGCTTGGCCACCATCTTGGTTGACCGCTCCAGAAGTGGTCACACTGACCATCTCAAACCCAGCTGAGTCCAGCAAAACCCAAACGCGACCTTCGCCAAAAACCCCGCGATTCAACTCAAGTTTCTACAACCAGAGCGAAGCCCAGCACTGAACCAAAAGGAAGGGCCATTTCTGGGGCATGGAGAGATTAAACTAAGATGATGAAGAAACCCTGTGTGGGTATGTGATAGGGCATGCAATAGGGTAGGCAAAAGGGTATACATTCAGGTATGCCATATAGGGCTAGGGTATGCAACAGGGAATGCAATAGGGTATGCATTCAGGTATGCAATAGGGTATGTGTTAGGGTGTACCATAGGGTACGTAATAAGGAATGCAACAGGGTATGCATTAGGGTATGCAATAGGGTATGCATTATGGTGTACAATAGGATATGCATTAGAGTGTACAGGGTATGCATTAGGGTATGCAATAGGGTATGCATTACGGTGTACAATAGGATATGCATTAGAGTGTGCCATAGGGTATCCATCAGGGTACGCAACAGGTTATGCAATAGGGTGTGCGTTAAGGTATGTAATAGGGTATGCAACAGGGTACACACGATAGGATATGCATTAGGGTATGCCATAGGGTATGCATTTGCATTAGGGTAAGCCCTGGGGTATGCAACAAATAGCATGCCACTGGCACCAAGGCATTTCCAACTGCATGGACGTACCAGGCACCGGCTCTGGCCGGAGCGCGCGCTGCAGCGGGCTCTGCTGCTCCGTCTCGAGATGTGCATTTAGTGGTGTGGGTTTGGTGTTTTTTTTTTTTTTTATTATTAAAAGAAGGTATCAGCCTTCTGTTTGATGTGTTGTGGGCCGCGGTTGCTAAGGGGAGCAGTGTACAATTACAGCCCCAGTGATGTCCACTCTAATAATACCCTTGGCTCTGCATAGCTCAGATGCAGACACAGCTCTGCTATAAAGAGCACGGCCATTTCAACAGAGGAACACTCCAACTTATGTTACATGTGAAGGGTTTGTGGCACGTTGCTTAACACCCCCACCCTGCCAAAAAAAAAAAAAAAGCACTCAAGTCAGGATAAGTCAGTGGGTGAAACTATGACAAGTAAAAATCTCTCGCAGCAGACTTACTTTCAATTTATTAATTAAGAAAGTATTTCTAGAGGGGTGAAGAAACCATCCATGTACCCACCAAGATGTGCTTGTGTGTCTCCATCCATCCAAGCTTCCCGAGCCCAATCCGGCCAAGTCCATCCCAAGGGCTCACACAGTTCAAAATTGCTCCTTGTACCAAACACCAAACCAAACTCAATGAGCAGAAAACCAAACCCAAATGACCCCCCCGCAGTGCTGAGCCCCAGCATGGCAGCATCTCCCGAGCCCAACCAGCCGTCCACCCCACGACTCATCTTTCTGCCCCTTTCCGAGTCTCATTTCAGCATCCCGAAAGGTTCGCAGCACCCAAATTCAAGACTCAGACGAGATCTGGGATGAAAACACAGACTGAGGGATAAATTGGAACCAGAGTTTTCCTGATAGATCCCCTTAGAGCCTGAAACGATGCGACGCCGGCTGAAGAGATGCTCTTTAGAGGGAGAGGGATGACACGACAGCGTTCCTGTGCCGCGGCGCTGGCATCTGTTTTGGGATCAAAACAAGTCCCCTGAGATAAGCTGCGAACATGTGCAGCCCCCGAACACGAGCACCTTGTCAACAGCTGAAAATGTAAGAGGAGCCAGGTTAAAAAGACAGTTTATTCAGTTTATTGCCTGCTCTGCGGGAAACCCTGTGGCGCTTGCTTTAAGGTCCAGCATGGTATGGGGATGCTGTCTATAGGTACTGGGATGCTGGTAGGGTGGCTAAATGGGTTAATGCATTAATTTATGAGCTCCTACAGTGGGGCTGGGCCGTTGCCATCACAATCCCAAGAGAAAGGGACAAACAAAACCCTACAAAACAGGAGCATCTGCCGGGAGCAGATGGGGGGGGCGAGCGATCCGGGCCCAGGCGCCAGCAGTACTTGGGGGGGGATCACGTTGATCCCGATTTATCACACCCCGGCAGAGTAATTCCCCAGCTCGCCGGTGCCCGGCGAGCCGAGCTCCTTACGTCCAAGGATCAGATTAGTCTGAAAGGTGCTAGAGAGACATAAATCCAGCTCTGGAGTAAGCGTTTTATTAAAGTGTTTTTTGGTTTTTTTTTTTTTTTTAAATTAATGGTAAATTATCTAGAAACGGCTGATGGGAAATACCTGATGGTGGAGGGGCCAGGATGAGAGCTTGGTAATCTTCTATCATCAACTATATATCAATATATCACACTGATATTGATAACATATCATATATCCATACCATCAACCCCTTTATTTCACATCAAGGCAGCTGCAACGAGTCTTCTGCGCTTCATACCTGGGTCTGTCTCCAGTCGGGGCTATCAAGCCTGAATGTGTCACAAAAAAAATCCAGTTCTGGGCTGACCAAAGTATGTCATGAATCATGGGAATGCAGCTGACTATTTTGGTTGAAAAAAACTCCCGTGCTTGCAGGAAGTCAAAATCCTTTACTATCAGAAAGCAAATGTTAAATTATTTAATTTCACACAGCACTTTGCTTTTGACCTGTAGTGATCTGTCACCTTTTGCCCCAGCAAGACATTTTCAAAAGACGTGCAGTTTGAGGCTGAGCAAATCCCTTTTGCATGTTTTTCTGTGCTCTTGCACATGAAGTCAGTCACCTGGACACCCTGCTCACCCTTTACATTTCATTTCTTCCCAACTTTCCACAATGGACATCATGCTCTTATCACTGGCTACGTGTTCCTGGGAAGCACTTTGGGACTCTCTGGAGACAGCAGATGTATTATTTATCCTACACTCATGCTATGAAGAGC